GACAATCTACCTGCCTCTGCCTCCCAGAGTGCTAGAGTGCTAGGATTACAGGCGTGAGCTACCACGCCTGGCCTTCTTTTATTTATTTTTTCCTGATTTAATAATGTAATCGCTGTGCAGGTCCTGGTCCCTCATTTCTGCTGCTCATGGGCCCACTTCTCTGGGGTCAGGGTTTTCTGCTCAAAAGCATGGATGCATGGAAGCTCTTCCTCTAGGCACTGGCCTCCTTTTTTTTTTTTTTTTTAAGGCAGAGTCTCATTCTATTGCCCTAGGCTAGAGTGCTCTGATGTCAGCCTAACTCACTGTAACCTCAAACTCTTGGGTTCAAGCAATCTTCCTATCTCAGCCTCCCAAGGAGCTAGGACTATAGACCCCTGCTGCAATGCTTGGCTAGTTTTCCTATTTTTTATAGAAACAGTCTTGCCTCTGCTCAGGGCTTTGATCCTGGGCTCAAGTGATCCTCCTGCCTTGGCTTCCCCAGAGTGCTGGAATTACAGTGTACACCGTGCCCAGCCAGTACAGATCATACCTCCAGTTTCGGTTTATGCTTTCTGCTTTGCTAAACAAGTAGAGGCCAACTCTTCATCCCCTCATCATCTCTACTACCAATAGCCTACCTCCTAATTAGTCTCCCGATGTTTACTTTTGTCTTCTATTCTTCATACTACGCTCAGAATGATTCTTTTCTTTCTTTCTTTTTTTTTTGGAGACAGAGGGTCTTACTCTGCCACCCTGGGGTTGAGTGTCATGACACCATCATAGCTCAAGCAACCTCAAATGATCCTTATACCTTGGCTTCCTGAGCAGCTGGGACTACAGATGCCCACCACAATGCCTGGCTATTTTTTTTTCTTTTTGAGATAGAGTCTCATTATGTCACCCTCGGTAGAGTGCTGTGGCATCACAGCTCACAGCAACCTCCAACTCTTGGGCTTAAGTGATTCTCTTGCCTCAGACTTCCAAGTAGCTGGGACTACAGGTGCCTATTAGGTGGTTATTTTTTTGTTATTGTTGTCGTTGTTGTTTAGCAGGCCTAGGCCAGGTTCAAACCCGCCAGCCCCAGGGTATGTGGCTGGTGCCCAAACAACTGAATTATAGGCACCGAGCCATGCCTGGCTATTTTTAAGAGACAGGTTTTTGGGTGGTGCCTGTGGCTCGAAGGAGTAGGGCACTGGCCCCATATACCAGAGGTGACGGGTTCAAACCCAGCCCGGCCAAAAACAGCAAAAAAAAAAAAAAGAAAGAGAGAGACAGGTTCTTGCTCTTGCTCTGGCTGGTCTTGAACTCCTGAGCTCAAGCAGTCCATCCATCTCAGCTTCCCAGAGTGCTAGGAGTACAGATGTGAACCACTGCACCCTACCTCGAGTTTTTCTTTTAAAACCACGTTAGCTCACATCACCCCTTTGCTCAAAATTCTCCAATTGCATGCCATCTTACTCAAAATAAAATCTACAATCTCCACTGTGGCCTAAAAGGCCTTACATAATCTGCTGACTCATTTTATACTACTTGATCAGCTTTAACTGTGCTGATACCTTCGTTAGTGGTCAAGCACCTTTCCATACCAGGATCTTTGCATATTATTTTTTCAGATATCTATATGGTTTAACTTCCTTTGTTTATTCAGGTTTCTGCCCAAATGCTATCCCATCAGAGAGGCCCTCCCTGACTACCCTATGTAAAGTACCTCCCTTGTGTCTAGCTCTATCCCTTACCTTCCTTTATTTTTCTTCATAGCATATGTCACCACTATATATATATACATATATATATATCACATACATATATTTTAATTGTCTTCCCCAGCTCCTATCACTGACTATAAGAAGTATGGGGATAAGATTTTGTTGTTTTTATTTACTGCCCTATCCCTGGGGCCTAGAATGGTGTCTGGCACATAATAGGTGTTTAGTAAATGTTTGTTTAATGAATGGACCCATTTACCATAATGACCTGGTAAAACATGTGATATTATCTCAATTTTATAGTGAATAACTGGGATTCAGAAAGGTTGTTAATCTGTTGCTCTAAGATAACATGGGTAATTTAGAATTAGGTTAGAGTTCTAACATGGTTAGAATTAGGATTCAAACCCAAGGGTTTTTTTTCTTTTCTTTAGAGACAGAGTCTCACTTTATCACCCTCGGTAGAGTGCTGTGATGTCACAGCTCACGGCAACCTCCAACTCCTGGGCTTAGACGATTCTCTTGCCTCAGCCTCCCGAGTAGGTGGGACTAGAGGCACCTGCCACAACGCCTGGCTACTTTTTTGTTGCAGTTTGACTGGGGCCGGGTTTGAACCCGCCACCCTTGGTATATGGGACTGGTGCCCTACCTACTGAGCCACAGGCACTGCCCAAACCCAAGGTTTTTTTTGCCCTGTTATGCATGTGGAGTGTAGCCTCCCCGTTGTTTTTCTCTAGATGTTGATGAAATGCATTTGGTAGTTTATTTCTCTATTCAGTTGATATGCACCAAGTGGCAGACACAGGATATAAAAGAATAAATTGTGTATCTTCACGGACTACTTGGCACTCAGGAACCTGGATGGTTTCTTAACCCTTTATATTATTGAAGCCTTTGTCCTTTTATTCCCTTTCCATCTTAATCTGTTTTTCCATCATTAATTAGTCAACTATCATTTGATAAGCACTTAAATATGATACCATCCCTGGCTCAGCGCCTATAGCTCAGCTGTGAGGGTGCCAGCCACATATACTGTGGCCTAGTGGATTCAAACCCGGCCCAGACCTGCAATGGCAACTACAACAAAAAAAATAGCCAGGCATTGTGGTGGGCACCTGTGGTCCCAGCTACTTGGAAGCATGAGGCAAAAGAATCACTTAAGCCCAGGAGTTGGAGGTTGCTGTGAACTGTGGCGCCAAGGCCCTCTACTGAGGGTAACATAATGAGACTCTTCTCAAAAAAAAAATATGGTACCATCCTAGGCATTTTACATTTTATCTTTAATCTTCACAAAAATACTACAGGAAAAATATAAATATCATCATGTTACAAAAGAAGAAGCTGACTCGGGATTTAAGATAGATTTCCAGTACTATGAGGCTGTACTATTATTTTTGTGTTTTAAAGATTTGATAACTGAATTTTAGTGCTATCAAACAACTTGTCTAAGCTCACAGTTTAGAAATGGTGAGGATAGCATTCAGCATTCAGAAATGCTTTTCTCCAGCTTATTCAACAGTTTAGTTTCAAAGCTTCTCAAGATGCAGAACTGAAATGCTCTGATTACTTAGCTGAACAGAGCCATATTATTCTCTGTGTTCTCTGGCTCCTGTGTCTAGTCTGGCTCTCATCACTGTCCCTCCTCCATTTTCTCTGAGCCTGATCTAATAATACAAGGTTTATATCCCTTTCTTCTAGGCTGTTGGAAGAAACACCTCATTAGTTCTCTTGCCTCAGTGTCGTCTCTTCCCATTCATTGCTCACCCGATCCCAGTTTGAACTTTCCAAAACTTAATTGATCATATCATTCCTACGCTTAAAATCTGCCAAGAGCTTCCCGCTGCCTATGCAGAGTTTAGACCAAAATCCTTAGCACAGTGTATAGCATTCTTCATGTTTTCTTGTCCTAGCCTTTATCTCCTAATTACTTCTTCAGCCTTTTTTTGTGAGGTGGAATCTTACTGTATCACTCATGTTGGTTATGAACCCCTGGCTTCATGTGATCCTCCCATATCAGCCTCCCTTTCCTTTTTAGTTTTATCTTTCATCCTGCCCTCCTGTTGCTTAAGTTCCACTCATCCTGCTGCTTGCTATTCCCCAAACATACCTTTTCATACTTCTGCCTAGAATGCTTTTCCTACAGTGCTAAATAATCAAAAATATTTCCTCAGTTTTTAAAACTCAGCTCATAATAGTTCTGTCTCTTTGGTAGAAGTGACCATACTTTCCTTTGTGTCCCACTGAATCTTGAACATGTTTCTATTCTGGATCATGCTATATTGTGGCTCACATTTGTTTACCTACGTCTTTCCAAATTAGATCATTGTTAGATACATTTTATTTATATATGTATCCTTGGGACCTGGCACCTTGTATGGCAAATATAACAGTAGGTGCTTATTAATGTTTTGTGGAATAAAAAGGGAAGGAGCCAGTATGGAAGGACCCAGTATTGACATATCTTTAACAAGGAGAAGACAAGTTTTGGTAACTATGCAAATAAAATATTGGTATCTAGGGCGGTGCCTGTGGCTCAGTGGGTAGGGTGCTGGACCCATATACCGAGGATGGCAGATTTGAACCTGGCCCTGGCCAAACTGCAACAAAAATATAGCTGGGTGGGTGCCTGTTGTCCCAGCTGCTCGGGAGGCTGAGGCAAGAGCCCAGGATTTGGAGGTTGCTGTGAGCTGTGATGCCATGGTGCTCTACCAAGGGCAATAAAGTAAGACTCTGTCTCAAAAAAAAAAAAAAAAAGAAAAAAAGAAAAAAAATTGTCAAAATACTGGTATCTAATTGTATTCAATATACTTTCTCCTTCTTTTTAGGTTTAGAACTTCAGGAGAGAATCCCATCTATTCTTCAGGTAAGCAGTTATTTCCTGATGTAGTCTACCTGTTCTAAGTGACTCTCTAACACTCTTTAATAATTTGTCCAGCCTGGGTGTGGTGGCTCATACCTATAATCACACAATTTGGGAGGTCAAGGTGGGAGGATTGTTTATATTCACATAATTTGGAAGGTAAAGGTGGGAGGCCAGGAGTTTGAGACAAGCCTGGGCAATGTAGCAAGACCCTTTCCTCACTAGTAATAATAATAATTTGTGTATAAGGATGTCTAACTATCTTTGAAAAGAGCATCCCAGACCAAATCCCACCCCTTATGTGGAATAGAACCATGGTGAGAACATTAAGTAGTGGTTGAGAGCAAGAGCTGTATAGTAAGTTTAGATTCCAGCTCTGCCACATACTTAGTCTGTGATCATTGGCTACCTTTCTATCGCTTGTTTTCTTCACTCCTGTTCTTAAGAAAATGGGGATACTTACCTGGCAAGGGAGATATCATGATCACAAAGGTGATTTTCCCAGGGCGAGGCTTATCCATTGCAGTCCGGATGTGCTGACCTCTGCGATTTCCCCAAATGTGCAAATCTCAACTGCATAATTTGAGGTAGTGGGGAACTGCAGGCGTGCTTTCCCCTTTAAAAATTAAAAAAATATATATAGGGATAAGTATAGTACAAACTACAGTGAGCTATTTGAAAATTCAATAAGATAAAACACAGTGTTCAAGAAAGTTACCTGCTATCCATCATTAATAGTTTTTGCAAACCTGTCTTTTATGTCAATCGTCAGGCAAGCTTTTCTCACACTAGTTTATCCAAAAATTAATGTCCATTCAATCTGATTAGCTCAATGAATTTCAATCTCTGTTTCAACCCAATTACTTGCCTTATTTGCTTTGTCTATCGTGACAAATTTCAAAGCAGTTATTGGATTTTAGTGACATCTGTCATGTGACTAAAGAGTAGCAGAGATAAAGGAAGAGGAGTAAAGAAGGGAGCTAACATTTACTCAATGCCTTCTATGCACAAGGCAGTGTTTAAGAGGCTCTTCGTAAGTTAATTACTTTAGAAAATAGCAGTGATATGTAGGGGATCACTATTTCTCTTGGGCCCAAACCCAGCAGCTCAAAATATGGGTTTTTATTTATTTATTTATTAAGATAGAATCTCTCTCACTTTGTCACTGTGAGTGCTGTGATGTCATAGCTCATAGCAACCTCAAACTCTGGGGCTCAAGTGATCCTCTTGCCTCAGCCTTCTAGGTAGCTGGAACGATAGGCACCCTCCACAATGTCCGACTTATTTAGAGACAAGGTCTTTGTCTTACTCAGACTAATCTCTAACTCCTGAGCTCAGGTAATCCACCTGCCTCGGCTTGCCAGAGTGCTAGGATTACAGGCATTAGCCACTGTGCCTGGCTCAAAATAGGGGCTTTTAAAAAACTTATACATTTGGGGTGGTGCCTGTGGCTTAGTAAGTAGGGTGTTGGTCCCATATACTGAGCGCGGCGGGTTCAAACCTGGCCCCAGCCAAACTGCAACTAAAAATAGCCAGGCGTTGTGGCGGGTGCCTATAGTCCCAGCTACTCGGGAGGCTGAGACAAGAGAATCGCCTAAGCCCGGGAATCGGAGGTTGCTGTGAGCTGTGACACCACAGCACTCTACCAAGGGCAATAAAGTGAGACTCTGTCTCTAAAATAAATAAATAAATAAATAAAAACTTACACATTCTCTTAAACATGTATTGTACCAGGGCTTTGTGTTAGATACAAAATTAAAAGGATACAGACTGGGTGTGGTGGCTCATACTTATAAATCTCAGAGCCTGATGTGGAAGGATTGCTTGAAGCCAGCAGTTGGATACCTGCCTGGGTAATATAGCACAACCCCATTTCTAAGAAAAGAAAAAAATTGCCAAATGCAGTGGATCATGCCTATAATCCTAGCACTCTGGGAAGCTGAGGCAGGTGGATCACCTGAGCTCAGGAGTGCTAGACCAGCCTGAGCAAGAGCAAGACCCCCTCTGTAAAAAATAGTCAGGCATTATGACTGGCACCTATTATCCCAGCTACTTAGGAGGCTAAGGCAAGAGGATTGCTTGAACCCAAGAGTTTGAGGTTGCTGTGAGCTATGACACCACAGAACTCTACTAAGGGCAACAAAATAAGACTCTGTCTCAGAAAACAAAACAAAAATTGAGCATGGTGGTGTATACCTGTAGTGCCAGCTACTCAGGAGACTGAGATGGGAGGATTGCTTGAGCTTAAGAATTCAAGGTTACAGTGAGCTATGATCATGCCACTACACCCCATCCTGGATGACAGAGTGAGAGGCTGTCACTGGGAAAAAAAAAATATATATATAGTCATTGTTGTTTATAGTCTTTTTTTTTCTTTATGTGTACATTAATGCAATCTTGGGATACAGTGTGGTGTTTTCATATACAATTTGAAATACTCTCATCAAACTGGTTAACGTAGCCTTCATGTCATTTTCTTAGTTATTAAGACATTTATACTCTGCTTTTAGAAAGATTCACTTGTACCCTTGTAAGATAAACCATAGAAGTGACCCCACCAATCACTCTCTTTCCACCCATCCATCCCTTACCGTCCCCCTCCGTCCCTCCTCCCCATATTCTAAGGCTATAATTAGATTATATCTTTCCTATGAAAGCTATAAATTAGTTTCAAAATAGTGCTTTGTACATTGGATACTTTTTCTTCCATTCTTGAGATACTTTGCTAAGAAGAACATTTTCCAGCTCCATCCATGTAAACATGAAGGAGGTAAAGTCTC